CCACCTCAGACATGATACATATAATCACCCAAGCCATTTGACCTCTATATTGTTACACGCAGTCAGGTAGGAGCAAAGTGAGTTTCAGGTGACCCTATCATGTGACCAAGATCAGAGGTCATGAAGTCCTAACTGTTTAGTTGTCAAGGTAGCTCATTCATCACCACTGTTATGTAACTGACATACTGACAAATAGTCCTGGGGTATAAAATTGTTCTCTGCTACTTGAGGACCCTAAACCTTAATTGGCTGCCATAAATTTCCACATGTTAACAGTTAGTTTGAGTAGACAACTGGCTAGAGGACAGAGGAAAGATGAAAATTAGGCATATCATTATTTGTCATATGCTTAATGCCACAATGGACAACACCTACCCCTTTCTTTCTTCCAACATATTGTATCATGCTAACTATTTTTATTGTTCAGACTCTTTGTACACCTTAAAAATATATAACCCAAGTTTAATGTGGCTGACAAGAATAAAGGACTTGCAAACATCTCTGTTACACTGAAGGGTCAACTCCCTGATTTTTAAGGCAAATCTTCAGTTGCTTTGAATCTTCCCTATCCCTGCTTTTGATTTGTGATGATGTCCCTTGTAAGTATCTAAAGAGATATCTGAAATAGTACCCTCTCCATTCTCTCTCTGAGAGGGATGCAAACTATGCAAGGCCAGCTTATTAGATACAATTGCCCTGCCTAGGGATGTCATAGAATTCTGAAGAAAACAGAAACGGAAGCAGAAATTGCCGGTGTTTGCTTTCTTGTCCAATGTCTGGAATGGAAATCAATCCAGCAAATACAATCGGTATTTGCTGCTGCTGTTGTATTCAGACATTTGATGCATTCAGTCATCAAATTATATATAATTGATTATATCACCCCCCCATTTGCAACAACTTTAACAGTGCTTTTCTCTATTAAAAATGTTTAGGGGTACTCTCATTTTGACTCAAATAAAATCACCGTTTTATAGTTCAAATCAGGGAAAATAAATACAGTAAATGGACAAAAGTACAAAGATTCACAAAATGTTTAGGAGTATGCGTACCCCCAGAAAAAAGCACTGCTTGGAACTATAGTTTGTTAAGGGTGCTAAAAGTTGTTATGAACTCACAGAGATACAGTTTAACAATCAATCCCTCTTCCCAAGGAACTCTGGAAATTGTAGCTGAGAATTAGGAATACAGTGGTACCTTGGGTTACATACGCTTCAGGTTACATACACTTCAGGTTACACACTCCGCTAACCCAGAAATAGTGCTTCAGGTTAAGAACTTTGCTTCAGGATAAGAACAGAAATTGGGCTACGGCAGCAGCTGGAGGCCCCATTAGCTAAAGTGGTGCTTCAGGTTAAGAACAGTTTCAGGTTAAGAACGGACCTCCGGAACGAATTAAGTACTTAACCTGGGGTACCACTGTATGGGTCTCCCCCTCCCAGCACCCTTAAGTAACTACAATTCCAAGGATGCTTCTGGAGAAGCCATGACCATTAAAGCAGTATGATACAGCTTTGAACATACAGTGCAAGTGTAGCTTAGTTAGAAACCTCTGTTAATTCAGATCGTCTACATGGTGGGCCAAAGTGAGACAATAGCCAAAAAGCAGAGGTCTAAAAGCTTACATAAACTATTTGTTAACAGGAAGACAAAAAGATGAAGGAAAAAAAACCACCCTCCTGCTTCTCCCCCTTACGAGCTGCAAATCTTAGCTAGGGAGAAGGGGGGTGGGGAAGAAGGGAGAATAATGTTTTAAAATAAATGGTTAGCACATTAGTATAAAACCTATTGATTAAAAACACCAAGCATAATGTTAGTCTTTTAGTCTCTTGAGTGATGCAATCCCGAAATAAATTTATCCCTTTGACTCTTACATTAACCTTTTATTGACTGCTTGCATACCCATAATTAACACACACTTTAGCTAAAGTGGTTAATTTTAGCATTGTGACCAGTGTCTCCTAATGTAGTTGACACCCTAATCATCTAAATGTAAGTAAAGCCACAGGGGAAGGAACCAGCTGTCTCCAGATTCCAGGAGAAGTCACCATTTTAGACCTGTTCCACCCATGCAACAAAATGGTAGGATCCTGGAGTGATAAGAGTGGACTGAACCAATTTGGACTGGAGGGGAGAGGAATCCATTTCTCCCACTGTGTATATCCCTCTGGAAGAAGGAAAAACTGAGTATATTAGTGAGGAAGGTTCTAGCTGAGCCAACTACTTGTGGAGCAAGATTTTTAATTGGGTTTTGATACAGGAAACCATTTTTGAAAACTGGTTCTTCCCCCAACCTGGACCCACCAGTCAGTGTAGACAATACTGAGCTAAATGAACTAATGGTCTGGCTCAGTATTTGGCAACTTACTGTGTTCCTCCCCCTGATTTAGCTGCTACAGAGCAGGAGCAGTGGTTGAACCCTTGGCAATGACAACCCTAGCATTTGAGATAGACCAACAGTGGGAAATGGCTATTGTCCTGTGGGCTTCCTAGCTGTGAAAGCCTCCCAGAGTGTCTGGGGCAATCAGTGGGATACAATATTATTATTATTATTATTATTATTATTATTATTATTATTATTATTGATTCTTTTAATGTTTGGGCGTAGTCTCATTCAATGTGACCTCTAACTTTTGGGTAGGTCAGTATATTATCCATATTTTGCAGATGTGGGAAGTTAAGGCTCAGAAATAGTGCCTTTGCCCTAAGACAACCTGGTGAATTACGTACTTCTAAGTGAATCGCCTCTACATTCCAGAAGATTGGTATAGTAATGTGTAGAAAAGCAACTGAAAGTCTTCATCTAGTGCTAGGGCGAGTAACCTCTGGCATTCCAGGTGTTGTTGGACTATAACTCCCACCCATCCCAGTCAGCATGGTCAGTGGTTAGGGATGATGGGAGTTGTTGACCAGCAACTTCTGAAAGGACAGAGGCTCCCCACCCTTGACCCAGAGCACCCAGAAAATGGCACATTCATATTTTTCTAACCAAGAGAGAACACAAAGCAAGTTCCTTGTCTGAGGTTATACAGTGGTACCTCTGGTTGCGAACAGGATCCATTCCGGAGGCCCGTTCACAACACGAAAAGAGCACAACCCGCAGCGGCGCATCTGCACATGCGCAGGTTGCGATTCGCCATTTCTGCACATGCGCGTGACGTCATTTTGCGCTTCTGCACAAGCGCAAGCGGTGAAACCCAGAAGTAACCCTTTCCGGTACTTCCGGGTCGCCACAGGACTTAACCTGAAAGAACGTAACATGAAGTGGACGTAACATGAGGTATGACTGTAATCAGCTTCAGTCTCCTCTGCTTAATAACTGAGTTCTTTCTCTGCCATTTTGTTGGAAGGAAAATATTTCCAGCAGTGGGCTCCGGAATCGCTTAGGAACCATTGAGAGCCCTCCGCACTAAACCGTGTTTCCTCAACAACTGTTTTGAGGCGGCCCGCCCAACAAATCTACTGTTCTTCCATACGGTGCAGCTTATCAATGCAAACAGTTTAATATTTATGCTAAGAGGATTGTCAAAAGTAGCTTGTGCTCCTTTAATTCTTGTTTTAAATAAATAATGAGAACATTTGAACACATTACTCTTCTCGGAGGGCCCGAGGTCGGTTAATCTTATTATTTATGAAGTGATGTGCTACATAATAGTGCTTAGTGCATGTTAACAGATGCTATTATCACAGGCCGATGTGGGGAGCTGAAGATATATTGGAACGTTACGTGTTAATACTGTCCTTGTGCTGTAATGTACGATGGATTGAGTGTGGGAGGAGGCTAGAGCCGCAATTAACCGCATACCAACATGGGTGTAAAGTTGACGTATGTTTTCTCTTGGGGATTCTCCTGCCATCAATAATTCCCAAGAGGAAGATGACCTCTTTTCTTTGGTGTGGGTTTTTTTCCCATTCTTTCCCCAGAGAGGGTCAGGGTAGGGAAGTGGCCAGAGAGTCGTGTGTGTTAATCATTGTAGCAACCACTGGAAGCATTAATCGGTTAATTGTTGAGATGAGTCAGTTATCTCCCCCATTGCAAATGCAAAGATGTGTCAGTTGACCTATGTTTTATTTGTCACTACCCTCCTTCCCTCCCCGTAGCAAGAGAAAAAAAAAGTTCTATTTGGCTTGCCTGATTCAGGCATTGTCTTTTAAGAAGGAGATGCTTTATCCATATTCTCCCCATGCTGTTTTCATTGGATGTTCTTCATTGTTTAACATTTTCAGTGCTTTTCTTGAATTTTCTTAATCTCTTATGCATAAAGAAATGCCAAACCCTTACCGTCTTTTTCCTTTTCCAAACTCACTTGCTTTTCTGAGCATTCTCCTAGCCTCCTACTTGCTTAAATGCCTCTGGTGCCTTACGTACAATTAACGGTCAACAATATATTGTGACATTCTCATTCACTGAATGAGCTTTGCCACTTTAATCTAGTGTGTCTTAAAGATGTATTAGAATAAAGTGGCAGAGCGTGCGAAGTTTAGCAGCCATGAATGTGCTTCAGTTAACACCTCTATTCAAAGGGAAGTGGGAATTAAATTTTCTGTATGTTTGAAATGTAGAAAATTTCATAAACCAAAGATCCATCCCTGCATTGCATAGAATGGTAGAGGAGTAGGGAACCGCCTCAGCTTTGTTTATTTTATGTTCACTTATAAAACCATTTCTGTCTTGCCTTTTGTGGATGTTCTTAATTGTTTAAAATTTGAAACACGACTATTTTATATTTAATTGTATTGTTTTACCGCTCTGATGTTTACTGTCCAGGGCTCTTTGGGGAGGATGGTTGAGATAGAAATTGAATAAGCAACAAAATAGTAGTAATGGGCAGCATCCAACCAAATAGTTCTGCAAGCACTTTTGGCTGTTCAATGGAACTCCCTCTACTCTCTCTCTCTATGCGCCTCTTGCTATAACTCCTTAAACAACTTGGGGCAGGTTACCAGAAGGACCACCTCTTCCCCTATGTAGCTCTACCTGGACCTCTAGATCATCTTCAGAGGCTGTAGCTCAATGGTAAAGCATCTGCCTTGCATGCTGAAAGTCCCAGGTTCGATCCCTGGGACAGACTCCTACTTGGAAACCTGGAAAACTACTGCCAGCTAGATGAACCAGTGGTCTGACTCAGAATACAGCAGCTTCCAATGCTCTACAGGTGCCCCCGCCCAGTAAGGTATTGGCAGGTGACTCCTGGAGAAAGGGCCTTTGTAATGACGGCACTCTGGCTGTGCAATGCTCTCCCAAGAGATGCTCACCTGGCACAAACTATGAGGTCGCCAGGCAAACATCTTTTCATTTCCCCATGTTTCTTAGATCTTGTAAATTGCTGTTTAAATCTGCCATTTTCTTTTCTTTTATGGTGGGTTGTTTTATTTTAATATTTCATGTTTTAGCACCCCTTCCCCACCAGACAGTATTATTATTGGGCAGCATTAAAGGTAAAGGTACCCCTGCCCGTACGGGCCAGTCTTGACAGACTCTAGGGTTGTGCACTCATCTCACTCTATAGGCCGGGAGCCAGCGCTGTCCGCAGACACTTCCGGGTCACGTGGCCAGCGTGACAAGCTGCATCTGGCGAGCCAGCACAGCACACGGAACACCGTTTACCTTCCCGCTGGTAAGCGGTCCCTATTTATCTACTTGCACCCAGGGGTGCTTTCGAACTGCTAGGTTGGCAGGCGCTGGGACCAAGCGACGGGAGCGCACCCCGCCGCGGGGATTCGAACCGCCGACCATGCGATCGGCAAGTCCTAGGCGCTGAGGTTTTACCCACAGCGCCACCCGCGTCCCACATTGGGCAGCATTTGAACGTGATAAATATAATAGATGAATAAAAGATGATACTTTCACTTACAGGTATTTAGTTCCATTGGTTTTTACTGTAGCTCAGCCTATTTAACATGATGCATTGATCACTTGGTCAATTTTCTCTCGGTCATAAAATATCTTCTTGTATGTGCCAGTCACTTACCTTATCTTAAATTGCTGCATAGCTACTTTTAAAACTTAAAACCACAAATGAGCTACTAAAATAGTTCCTTTTTGTGATATTTAGTTTTCTTTCAACTTTTTTTTTTTGCCGATCATGTTATAATAATACTCACCTCTCTTCGGCTTTCACTCCTTTATAAACATTAGCTAATTAACCAGCATCTGGCAAATTAAAACAAACAACCCACACAAAACCCCCTGAAACTGAAAACACTGAATTGCTACAAATTTACTAATGCAGGACCAATAAGTGGCAGTCTTTATTACAAAGTAATCTTACAAGATGTGTTGGTTTACTTCTCGTAAAATTTCCCTGTGCCGGACTGCAGTTTTATTATAATTAGACTTCACTACTATTGATGAGGAATCCATTTAATAAGAAACACTGTAATTCAAAGGGTTTCTCTGGGGACCTAGCAAACGCTAACCTCTTAATTTAATTTTGTTGAAGTTTTGCCCATCTATTCATCAGCAGAAATTGTTATTAACCTTCATTTGCATCTATCTTTCAACAGCAACTCTCCTCCTTGTTACTTTTCCCCAAACCTGATGGATTTGTAACTCTCAGATTTGCAAACCACATTCTGCAATATTGTTTAATCTGTGCTGTGACCTTAAATGCAGTAAATTTGGTTTAATCTCTCCCAATAATCTAGTAGTATCACAGAAACCCGCACACAATGGCATAGACTGCTGACTGACTTCAAATAAGACTGGAGAGATAATGAAAAAATAATTCCCCCTTCGAAAGGTGCGCTAACTGCGTTTTCTTTGTGATGGGCTTTCTCAAATATTCCTCTAGGAATTTTTTTTTTTTTTAAGAAAAACTTGCATTAAGGCAGAAAAGATCCTGTGACTTCACTGGTTAATAGTCCTTTAGTGCCCCCCCTTTCATTAATAGGCAAACATGAGAAATAATAAATCCCTAAATGCATCCCCTAATTCACTTTTAATCTTATAGATTTATTTTATTTTTTTAGGTGCCATTCCCAACTTGTGGAGAATTTACCGAAGGATGAAAAGCCAGAATGCCATCCTTACTGGCAAGAAGGCGATGCCAACATGCCACTGCCATTCAACCTTGAAGACATAATAGCTGAGCTACAGAATCTTCTAGGGTGCTAGATGGAGCAATTTGATCATGAACTGAATGAGGTTCTTTTGCAAAGAGGCACTAGATGTCTCTGAGAACAGTGAGGTGGAGGAAGAAACAGCTCAGGGGGGAGGTATTCTGGACCAAGTAATATTCTGGCTGCATAATCAGTTAAGAAGTTAACCAAAAAGTGTACATCACAAGCACCAGAACATGAAAGTAAGATTATCTGTGGTTTGTTTTGAAGTTGGGTAGGCAGCCGGTGCCCTGCTGTGTTTCAGATGGGCTGTGTGAAATAAAGAGCCAATTACAAATTGTTTTAGCGCAAATGTTCCCCCCCCTTTTTTTCTGATGGTAAACAAAGGAACACTGAATTAGAGAAAAATGCAACCCAATACCCAATGCAAGCACTAAACCTGCCTTAGGCTGCAATCCTTGACACACTTAATCTGGCAGTAAGTCCTGTTACATTAAATGTGGCTTTTGCCTGAGTAGACATGCATAGGATGTGACAGAGTCTTGCAATCCTATACATGCCTACATGGAAGTATATCCCATTAAACTCAATGGGACTTATTTTTAAGGAAACTTGTCCAAGATTGTTCCATAAGAGACTAAGCTATTGAGAAGTCACTGGACTGAATTTCTGCAATATCTGCAATATGGATATGATAAATAATACTGACCTACCTCTCAGGGTTGTTGTGAGGATTATGCTAAGATAATAATATGAATTATTTTAAATAGAATAAAAGTTCTACCGAGATACTAAATATTAGTATGGTTGAGTCTTTTTTGTGGTTGAACATTTCAGTACAAAAAGAGAGTTTCTGGGCCACCAAAATCTTATCTGAAAAACACCCTCCCATATCTTTTTTTGCATGTTTCATACATACATAGATAGATATTCCTTCTGACTACAGGGTCAGACATTCAGGAATCATGTAACCAACCCTAGAACATCATGTTGCTATAATACCATACTGATTTGGCTACATAGAGCTATCACAAAGCAAGTTCAGTGTGAGGACAATGCTGGGGTGATAGGCAAGGATGATTTGTTTCATGAAATGTGCCACCTCACCCTCCATTGGTCCAACCCCAATTCATATTCTTATTAGGACATTCTCAAACTTCAAATTCAGTGGGAGTATTCCTGGATTGGTCTCCTCATCCATTAAGATGTGTTGTGAAGGCTCTGTGCATCAGCTGTCCAAGGGGGAGGGGAGGATTCAACAAGGCCAAATGTCCATTATGGCATCTCAAATACCACTCTTCACTTTTAAAATTCCATGACACTTCACAACAATATGCTTGCAGTCTCAATATAGTCAGCAAAGGATAATGGAGCATGGGCCTTGTCAGGAGTTATCAAAATGTTGTTCTAGACACCAGACCTAAAGGGGGCCTGCAAGCTGAGGCTGAAGGTAAGAATTTACTGCACACTAAACTGCATATTAACTCAGAAGAAGGCTCAGCTGTGCTCAGATGTTCACAATTCTCACCCTTTTTACCTCTTGAATTTTTGAGGGTCTTTTTCAGTTGGCACCTGGGCACCTTGCAGCACCCATGTCTTTGTTGCCAAGCTAGGAAGTTTCCCTCTTTTCATATTCAGGATTTTTATACTTGCATCGCTGTAATAAAAAAGGGGCTTGTCTATATTATCTGTTAAAGGAAGGAACGAATCACCACATCCAGTGGAAAAGGTGGCTTGCTCATCTTTGGAGAAATGACAGAAGAGACAATATTCATAGGAAGCTGCCTTATACAGGGTCAGGCCAGCTCTGTGTTGTCTACACGGACTGGCAGTAGCTCTCCAGGGTTTCAGACAGGGGATATTCCTATCCCACCAGGTATTGGACCTTGGAGCTTCTGTATACAAACCAATGGCTCTGTATACAAACCTTTAAACTACCATTTCCCATTACATCCAAACTGGGAAACTGTGGCTTAATCCCTGCTTCCTTTTTAAAAAATATTTTTCATTAATTTTACATATAATCACAATACGTAACATCGTATCCTCTTACTAAATCTGTTGGCTCAGCCAAGCCTAAACGACTTCCCTCCCTCCCACCTAATGGTTTACAAAATTAAATTATTTCACTTCCTTTCCTATTCTTGTTATACCATTACTTAAAATATTAAATTACTCCACCTGAATAAGTAACTAATTCATCTTACAAATCTTCAGATAACCCTGCTAATGATGTTAATTGTCTTTCAAATATAATATAAATTTGTTCCAGTCTTTTTGGAATACTTGATGTCACTGGTTCCAGATTCTTCCCGTCAGTTTCGCCAGTTCTGCAAAGTCCATCATTTTCATCTCCCACTCTTCTTTAATCCCTGCTTCCTAACCAGGAGATGAAACCTAGGGAAGAGAAGGGCAAGGAAGGTACACACAGCAACATGATTTTTTTCTCAGGCTAAAAAACCAGGGTCAGACTGGGATTGTTTTACATCCTAACCAGGCCATATGTTTCCTCTTTAGATGCAAGCCATATCATGTTACATATCATCTTACTCCGTGGATTTTATTGACAAGAGGTTTATCCAGTGCTAGGTGTACAGATGAGTCACCTCATATTAATTAGTGGACATGACCCACATGGGACCATTCATTTTAGTAGGCCTACTAAACAAAAAATGCTTAGCTCATATTCTACAGTCTTATTATCAACTTCTAAGCCCTTGAAAATGGGTAGGGTCAAAACTGAAATAATAAATTCCTTGGAGAGATACAGTGGTACCGCAGGTTAATTACTTAATTCGTTCCGGAGGTCCGTACTTAACTTGAAATTGTTCTTAACCTGAAGCACCACTTTAGCTAATGAGGCCTCCTGCTGCTGCCGCCGTGCCGCCAGAGCCCGATTTCTGTTCTCATCCTGAAGCAAAGTTTTTAACCTGAAGCACTATTTCTGGGTTAGCAGAGTGTGTAACCTGAAGCATATGTAACCTGAGGTACCACTGTAAATACATATATACC